CCCCCCCCCCCCCCCCCCCCCGTTACCTATACCTGGGCTTTGGGTATCGGATGATGCCAAGTACCGATCCTCTACCAGTGTTTAATTAATATGCTGTATGTATCACTTTTTAATGCAGCAATAAAATTGATCAAAACTTAGACAGGAATTAAAATTCCAGTATGTAATGTTTAGCCTATAAACAGAACTAAATTGAATAGATCTGCCCCTTTGTCACAGATATCCAATCCAGGTATTTGAGTCAGTATCGGCCCGATATCGGTATGGGTGCATGCCCAATGAGAGTCTCCACGAACAAAATGGAGTCCTCCACCTCCTAGCCCTCCAGCCAATCAGAGTAGAGCTTGCTGCTAGGCCACGGGGATGAGTGGTGTAAACAATGCGACGGAGCTAGCAAGCAGCGAACCGAGGCGGCTTCACTCAGCCATGCCGTGACAGTGGATTGGTGGCCGTTGTCTCTGCCGGCGTTAGCAAATGAGCACGAAGAGGCAGCAGTTTGGCACGGTTTGGGTTAGCTCTTTAGATGAAGATAGATTGTTTTGACAGATGAAAGCAAGCGCAAGGAAAGCTCAACTCCTTTATTCGGACAGAGTAATTGACAATTTTCTTTTGTCATTTTGAATCTTTTTTTTTTCTGTCTTTGTTTAGAGGTCAGAATGGTACCACAAGGTGCAGACTCCCTCTGTGTACGTGTGTGTTTCAAGCAATGGTGCACTATTTGCCCGAAACACCCTTTGCCCAACCCCCACCCCCCCAGGAGGGAGCAGCAGCATGACTCGGGGGACGCCCTGCCCCCAGCCCCCCCCGCCCCGAGCCGCATGCATGTTTCTTTCGTTCTTTCGTTTTCTTTTTTTGTTTGTTTTCTTCTTTTTTTTCTTCTTTTTCTTTGGTAAAATAAAAAGACAAGACAAATGAACGAACGATTCTAAAAACAAAAAATAATAATAAGAAGAAGAAAACAAGAAAAAATATAAAAGGACTAGACCGTGTGTGTGTTAGTTCCACATACTTTTAGGCCAGCTTGTATGTTGCATGTTCTTGTACAGTTTGCTCGTACTGAATATGAATACAAATCAGGAAAAGCCAAGCCATTCCCCCCCCCCACCATATAGATAGAGGGGGGGAAGGTGGGGTTCAAACTCCGCCCAGGCCACGCCTTCCACTCTGGGTCGAAATATCCTTGTTAGGAAGTCTCCGGAACAAAAACAAATTCTCTTTTTGTTTTCAGTTGTTTCTTCAAACCCTTTTGAGAAGCAGTGCTGTTTTGTAATACTGAGCTCACTGGCGTATCTCTGAGGGTGTCTGTATCCAAACCGTAGTTTAAGACAGTCGGGGCTAGAGACAGAGAATGTGTGTATAACAGCTAAATTATATGAAGTATAATTATGAGTTTGACAGAAGTTATAAAGATATAGATATATGAATATAAAGAGTGTATCTGAGCGTACACCCGTCACACACCCTGTACATACAAACCGGGAGGAGCAGCTTGAACTTGAGTTATGAACAAACTGAACATCGCTGACACACAAACATTCCTGGTCTCGTCGAGGGAATTTGCGTCCTGTGGATGTGCTCGAGCCGCTGAGTGGCACCGAGCCACAAGGGGGCGCTAAACGGGCCTTTTTTTTTTTTGTCCCAGTTGCAGAAAAAAAACAAGCTAACTAATCGGAACAAACTTTTCTTCTCTTTAAATCCCCCTCCCTCCTGTTTATCACTATCGGTTTGGACTGGACTTCTAAAACCAACGAGACATGTGATTCTTTGCGGACATATTTTGCGGATGTTTCTGTTGAAAAACCCTCGGCGGTGTGGCCGGCCGCCCTTTCCTTTTTCAGTATTACTCCAGGAATACTGATTGTTTACAGCCCACTCCCAAACCACGATTTTAGACAAAGACTAAAGTATTCACTGCAACATTTCTTGTTTGTACAACAGATGTGGCTCTACCGATGTGTATGTTTTATATTCAAGAGTTCATTTTTATTATTTACAAATAAAAGACTGTGTGGAAGAAGATCATGGCTTTTTTCGGAACGGAGTGGTGTCAAATTATTGTGAAGAAGGTAACGTGTTTATTTGTTTGTGACACTATTTTTCAGTACAGAGAACGCTAGAAGAATTCAAGATAAACCTTTTCCCCATTGCAGTGCCTTGCAAAAGTGTTCACCCCCTTTGGTGTTTTTTCCTATTTTGTTACATTAAAACCTGGAATTAAAATTTATTTTTATTTGGATTTGATGTAAAAACCTACACTAAAAGGTGAAGAGAAATGAAAACAACTTTTTTTTCTTCAAAAATGGCTAAAAAATAAAATACTGAAAACTTGTATGTGCATGTTATGTTTTCACCCCCTTTGCTATGAAGCCCCTAAATAAGATCTGGTGCCATCAGTTACCTTCAGAAGTCACTATTTAAGTGTCACATGATCTAACGGAGCACCATTACATCCATTACTACAAAATGGAATGAATATGCCTCCACAACAAACCTGTCAAGAAAGGACAAAGACTCTCAAACCGGTTCATCCGAGAGGCAACAAAGAGATCAAAGCTAACCCTGAAGGAGCTGGAAAGCTCCACAGTATCTGTCCATAGGACCACTGTAAGCTGTACACTTCACAGAGCTTGGCTTCATGGAAGAATGGTCAGAAAAAAAAGCTTATAGCAAATAAAAAAGCAATGGTTTTCTTCTGGCTACTCAGTGTTAGTCCTCTCTTAGATTGCACACAGGTGGACCGTATGTTACTAGTGACTTCTGAAGGTAATTGGAAGCACCAGGTCTTATTTAGCGACACAGTGTCATAGCAGTTCTTGAAATAGTCACAAAATGCAATCTATTGGTTTTGTGTACGGCGACACGATTTGTCAGTTTTTTGTTCTTTGTTTTGTTGTAGCTCGGCACAACTTATTTTTAGGGACGACATTACATTACAAACCAAAAGTAGTTAGGTTTAGGGGAAAAAATGTCTCAGACCACATCGCTTTCAGACGATCGATCACTTTCCATCAGCATTGTTTTCATGCTGAGTGAGAAGAAGAAAAAAATTGTGTTCATGTACACCAAAGCAATCGATTGCACTTTGTGACTATTGCACGACCTGCCATGATACTGGGCTGATTATAAGGGCTTGATGAGGAAGGGGTGAATACATAATATGCATGCAACAATTTTCTGATTTTTACTTTTTTGAAAACAAGTTTTTTTTCACTTCACTAGTTTAGACTATTCTGTGTAGGGCTATTACATAAATTAAAAATTTTAAAACTTAATTACAGGTTATAATGCAACAAAATAAGGGGTGGATACTTTAGCAAAAAAAAGCACTTTCATTATTCCAGCTTTTCCTTGATGACTGAAGGAGGAGCTGCTGTGGCAAAAAAAGGTTTGTAAAAATTGCCTTGTTTTCCCATCAATCAAACCTGTTCAACAGAGTTCCATGTCTACAGTATGTGTTGGGTCGACATAGGTAAACATAAGGTTGGACCCTAACTGACACCAACTTGTACTCTAAAGCTGAAATATTTGTACAGTAATGCAATCAGGAGAGTATGAGTTCAGATAACTGTTTATTATATAAAGGGATGCAGACCTCCCCCCACCCCCACACCCCCCCCCCCCCGCCCCCCCCCATCCCCACCCCAAGCCATTGACGACCAGTCAAGGCGATTGCCACTAATTAAGTTTAAGACAATAGGTGGGGATGAATTTTGACACTAGCTTTCTACTTTTGAGGACTTAAGAGGAGTAAAGGTTTCCCGTGAACTGGGAAACTTTGCCCCTCTATGCACTTGTGTTTCCGCATTCAAATTCTTCACATGGACGTGTTTTTTTTCAAACTGAACTTGATTAAAAAAAAAACACGAAACAGGCTCATCACAGACATACTTGATGGGCTCATGCACACAACAGAGTGTGTGAAGTGGATGTGCCACATTTAAGCCATCAAGAACTAAACTGAGCTCCATGACAGCATCAAAGTTTTACCTTAAACGGACCGGCCCATTATCATCTGGCCCAGAGGCAGAGTAGCAGTATGCTGTGTTGAGGTCAATTGTTTTAAATAAGCCAGTAAGCCCAGTTATTTACTTCATTGACTTATGATGATGAAGTTGTGGTAATTTAGCAGTAAGTCTCGCTTACTAAACTAAACAATAATAAATAAATGAATTCACAGCACCGTGAATCCCTCACAGTAGCTTTAAAGCCTGATTCGTCTGTGACAATTTTTCTGACCTTTTCAATGTTGTGACGTACTTTGACGGCAAGATGAAGCAAGTAAAATATTCTGTGGGATGGATAATAAAGCTCCGGGTGGTGCTGAACTAAAATGATTAACTTCTTCATATATTTACTGTAGACTGATATTTGCAGAAGAAAGAAGAGATATCTTCCAGCTGTGATTGGTTGTTCCTAGTCACATGACATGTAGTGCACGCTCCACCGTTCCAAAAGTTGAACTGTTTTTATCTCGGTGTGCAGCTGTCGCGTCTGAAAAATAAGTGCTTGGGAACACAGCGACGCTCTCATTTTTGAGATTTTGAGATTTGAAATCCGAATATGAAAGGTACCCTGCAGATTTTGTTTTTTTACATTTACACGTCTTCATTTAGCGAACACTTCATTGACTGACTCATAACGTCGGTTTCATCTCCAGGTTCTTCATTTGTCTCGGGACCAACAGGATCACTGACTGGACGCCACAGGACCAACAGACGCTGTTTTGGACAAGAAAAAAGGACAAACAGAATGGTAGTTAAATTAACACGATGTCTATTGGGGGCAATGAAAAATATTACAAAAGTAAAGCAGAATTTTTAAAAAGTAAACGGGATGTGTTGGTGCTCTTGCCTGTCTGAGGGTGCCCTCTGCAAGGCAGATCTTGCAGACAGCACAGATGGGTACTGCAGCCACGGAGGAGAGGGCCATAGCCCAGCCCAGACAGTAGGCCCAGTCTGGGTACACATACCCCCCGCTGGTTGTCAGGGGCTGGTGGTCCAGGAAGAAGCCGAAGAAGCAAACCTTGAGGGAAAAGCAGAGCGACAAACTCATACTTCTGTAGACAAATAGGCTGCATTAACACTGTGACGTCCCTCTGCCTTAATGTATTGCTAATATTGTAAACCAAGACAAAATGGTATGAAGTCTTTTGGTAACACAGGTTTTGCTTGTGCAATCAAAGCCCCTTTCAAACAGCACTGTTGCGTAGCTATTCCGCCTCGCTGTCCTGTTCTGTATGAGAGGTACAGAAGCGGAATGGGTGGACAGCTTTACGAGCAGGGGACGTCAACACTTAGTTTATCCTCCATTATTCATTTAGGGTGATTGTGCACATTATTCCTTTGATACCAGCCATCTGAAATCACACACGGGCGGAGATCATGCCGCCGTTGTTCGGTCAGTGTGGAAAAAGCAAAACCAGCTTGACGCCGGATCTGCTTTAACGGCAGTATTGCGGAATCTCTGTGTGAAAGCGGGTTCTAGTCAGCTGCAACATTTTTAGACTTATGGTGCCAAGTCAGAAACTTCCCCAAGAAAACCAGTTCTGGGCCGATATCACACCAGTAAAGTAGACCCAGGCCCTCCCCGTCAACACGACGACTAGGCATATTATGATAAGAATAATCCATAGGCCTTGCATCATGGTAGCCTATTGTCTGTGTTTTCAGAGCCAATATTGGCATAAAAATACAAATTTTTGAGTATTGAAAATAAAGGCGCATGCAGACTTAAAGAGGGTGGTACGGGATTGTTTGAGTTAGGAGTTAGGAGTTAGGAGTAATTTCCTAAGCTAAGAGAGTTGACAAAATGCATTTTCGTATAGTCCTAAAAGAGCCTCTTGATATATATATATAAAAGGGCCCTGGATAGTGTGATGTCATGAGAGGGAGGGTCATCAACGGGAGATACATCCCCTCCCGGTGGCTGCAGCAAAGACTACAACCTTTCACGGCATCGGGGTAACAAACTACAATTCCCATAGTCAGCTGGGGCCAAGGTGGCAGCCCAGCTGAAAGAGAGGGGACTGATTACCCGGGAGACGTTGGTGTGGAGAAGAAGAAGGAAATGTTTGGAGAGAGGAGGACAGGAGCGCACAAAGAGGAAAAGAGTTTTATTTTACATTAAAGACAACGAACCCGAAGAAAACGGAAGATACTTACGTTTGGTTTTTGTATCGGCTTTCGGCTGAACTGAAGTTTACCTTTTGTTTAAAGAATCAAAATATATTATTTTGAGTTAGAACACAACCGTTTGTTGTCTTCATTTGTGCACCCACACCTCACAAGCTGATCCCGACCTCTCAAGACATCACATTGGTGGAGAATACCAAATACGGAGGGGTGGGTGAGAGTGAATGTCCATCACTGATTTGACCATTCGCTTTGCACAATTGAGAACCAGTGAGGACGCAATGGAGGAAATGCTTAGGCTGCTCACGCAAAGCACCCAGCTTCAGATGGAGGCTAGCCGGGCTCTGGTGGAGGAGCAAAGAAAAGCCAACATGTTGAAGGAGGAGGAACTCGGGCTACAGAGAAGTCAGCTTCAAACAGCAGGGCTACCGAACCCCAACCCTGTCCTCTGGGCCAGTGATTTTATTCCTAAAATGGGACCCACCGATGATCCAGAAGCCTACCTTCATGCATTCGAAAATACGGCAACCAGAGAAAAATGGCCGAAAGACCAGTGGGTTGGTATCCTTGCCCCGTTCCTGTCCGGTGAGTCACAGAAAGCTTTTCAAGACCTGGATAGAACAATAGCCAATGACTATGATGTCCTGAAAGAGGAAATGTTAAGTAGAATAGGACTTACTAAGTTTGGAATGGCCCAACGGTTCCACAATTGGGGCTTTAGGAATGACCAACCCCCCCAGTCACAGATGCACGAGCTAATACGTATCACAAAGAAATGGCTTGATCCGGATAAAACACCTGCAGCAGCTATAGTGGAAGCCATTGTTGTAGATTGATACTTACGGGCACTGCCCTATGAGGCAAAGAGGGTTATTAGCCTCCAGTCACAGCCATTGCCCTGGTGGAGGCCGTTGAACAGTACCAGGCCACCAATGAAATGCTCTGCATGGGGAAAAAGGAGCAACCCATGTCTCAAGGACGCCCAGCAAATCGACGTCCCCAGCCCCACAGACCCACTCAAAGTAACCCAACCCAACAGATTAATATACAGAGACATTATCAGACTGAGCGAGAGCAAAGAAAACAAAGTCCAGAGGGGGAGACTCGGAGATGCTACAGATGCGGGGAACTGGGACATATCTCGTGGCAATGCGATAAAGGGGACGAACTAATGCCGACAGCAGAGTCCGCTGGCAGCCAGCCTACACACCTCTACGCCTCCTTGATGGAGGGTACAGAGCACCAAGCTTTTACGTGCCCTGTGAAGCTTAATAATGAGGATGTGGAAGCTTTGCTGGACTCGGGGAGTAATTATACACTAGTTCACAAACCTTTGATAGAGGGAACAGACTGGCTTCAGGAAGAGACACGACCAGTTTCGTGTGTCCATGGTGATACACGCCAGTATCCTACGTGTACGGTGAAGCTAATCACAACGCAAGGCATGTGTGAAGTTAAGGCGGGGGTGCTAGATTCCCTGCCAGTCTCACTTTTAATTGGAAGAGATTGTCCCCTGTTCCTCAGGCTGCGGAGAGAGATACAGGAGAGACGGTCTAGGGAGTCAGGACAGCACAGAGGTAAGATTAAGCTGAAATACAGACCAAAGAATGTGTCCAGGACTGTTTTAACACATACCTCTTCTCCAGCGAATGCTTTTCTCGGCGCTGCAGAATCAGACAGCGATGTGGGCCCGGCCTCTGAAGGTGAAGAGGAGGAGCCCCAGGGAAGCCACCAGCCGTCATCAAGCGAGGATAGCAGACAGACAGCTGCGGATGGGCCGGCCCCACTTTCAGGCCAGTATGGTACTGCTCAAGTCAATGACCCGACATTGATAAATGCTTTGCGAAATGTGAGAGTAATAGAAGGGGTGGACCAAGACCAGAGAAGCGTTTTAATTTACCCTCATTTTGCGGTGAAGAATGGTCTACTGTACCGAATGACACAAGTGCAGGAGGAGATAACAGAGCAGTTGTTAGTGCCTAAATCTTTTCGACCTACTGTGTTACAACTGGCCCATACACACCTGCTTGGAGCATATCTAGGAGTGGAAAAGACTAAAGACCGGATTTTACAGCGGTTCTTTTGGCCAGGCATTCACAAGGAAGTCGAAAATGATTGCAGAAGTTGTCCAGAATATCAGCTCATGGCCCCTAAGTCCTCATTTAGAAATCCCCTGATCCCCCTCCCCATTATTGAGGTCCCCTTTGAAAGAATTGGGTTAGATATTGTGTGGCCCCTACCCAAGAGTGCTAGGGGGCATCAGTATATTCTGGTCCTAGTGGACTATGCTACCCGCTATCCCGAGGCCATACCCCTCAGAAAGGCTACAGCCCAGCAGACCACCAAAGAACTGTTCCTCCTATGCAGTAGAGTAGGACTTCCCAAAGAGATACTGACAGATCAGGGGACCCCTTTTATGTCTCGTGTTACCAAAGGCCTGTGCTCTCTCCTAAAGATCAAGCACCTCAGAACATCAGTATACCACCCTCAAACTGACGGACTAGTAGAGAGGTTGAACAAGACTCTCAAAATGATGCTAAGGAAGTCCATTGAAAGAGACGGGCGCAACTGGGACCAGCTCCTCCCATACCTGATGTTTGCAGTTAGGGAGGTTCCCCAAGCTTCTACGGGTTTCTCACCCTTTGAGCTCCTGTACTCTTACAAACCCAGGGGGATCCTGGACCTGGCGAAAGAATCCTGGGAAAAACAGCCTTGTCCTCACCGCACGGTTATTGAGCATGTGGAGGCCATGAAAGACAGAGTGAGTGTCATTTATCCTATTGTCAGAGAGCACATGGAAAAAGCTCAGAAAGAACAGCAAGCATCCTACAACCGCCCTGCGCAGCCCAGAGAGTTCAGGCCAGGAGACCGGGTCCTGGTACTGGTACCCACTGCTGAATGTAAGTTTTTAGCAACTTGGCAGGGGCCCTATGAAATTATTGAAAGAGTGGGAGAAGTGAACTACAGAGTAATGCAACCAGGAAGGAGAAAACCAGAACAGCTGTACCACGTGAACCTGTTGAAGAAATGGCATGCTGCAGAGGTCCTATTAAGCTGTTTACCCCAAAAGACACAGGAGCACCACCAAGAGAGGTCATAAAGGTGGGCCCTGATCTGTCCCCCAGCAACGACAGGAGTGCATGGAGCTGGTGGACCGTAACCGAGATGTGTTCTCAGCTAAGCCCGGCACCACACACCTCGCTGTACATGAAATCCGCACCAAGCAGGGTAAAGTAGTAAATCAGCGTTCCTATAGAGTGCCAGAGGCCCATAAAGAAACAATTCGGGAAGAGGTTAAAAAGATGCTGGAGCTGGGGGTTATTGAAGAGTCCCACAGTGCCTGGGCGAGCCCTATCGTATTGGTCCCCAAACCTGATATGTCACCTCGATTCTGCAATGACTTTAGAAAGCTAAATGAGATATCAGAGTTTGATGCTTACCCCATGCCCCTAGTCGATGAATTAATAGATCGTCTGGGAATGGCTCGCTTCATCACAACGCTGGACCTCACGAAGCAAGTACTGGCAAGTCCCGCTTTCCCCAGCTTCCAAGGAGAAAACAACCTTTGCAACAAGTGAACGGCTTTTTCAGGTCACCAAATGGTAATTTGGGCTGCACGGAGCCCCTGCCACCTTCCAACGGCTCATGGACCGGGTCCTGCGACCCCACAAAAAGTATGCCGCAGCCTACATAGATGACAGAATGATACATAGCACGGATTGGGAAAATCATTTGCCTCAGGTACAGAAGGTCCTGGATGCCCTTCGTGAAGCAGGTCTCACAGCTAATCCCAGCAAGTGTAGGCTAGCATATAGTGAAACCAAGTACCACGGATACACAATAGGCCGGGGCCTTGTCAAACCACAAGATGCCAAACTGAAGGCTATCCAAGACTGGCCACGTCCTATCACAAAGAGACAAGTGAAATCTTTTATAGGGCTTGCAAACTGTTACAGGCGCTTTGTTCCTAACCTTTCTGATCTTATTGCCCCTCTAACAGACCTAACAGCTAAGAGACTGCCCCGATAGAGGAAGTGGTCCCAGAAGGCAGAGGAGGCCTTCATGAGCCTCAAGAAGGCCTTGTGTTCCCACCCCGTGCTCGCAGTCCCGGACTTTAACAAGGAGTTTGCGGTTCAGACAGATGCCTGAGGTGGGTCTGGGGGCAGTACTCTCCCAGGTACAGCAAGGTGAGGAGCACCCCATCCTCTACAGTAGCAGAAAGCTATTGCCTCATGAGAAAAGATATTCTACACTGGAGAAAGAATGTCTGGCAGTTAAGTGGGCCCTCGAAACCCTTCGCTATTACCTCATTGGGCGGAAATTCACACTGATCACAGACCATGCGCCTTTGCAGTGGATGGCAAGAAATAAAGAAACAAACAGTTGGGTAACACGGTGGTTTCTCAGCCTACAAGCCTTTAACTTGTGTTGTTCACAGGGCAGAACCATGGGAATGCAGATGCCCTCTCACGAAGAGATGTCCTGTGGGCCACTTCTGGTCCCCCGGAAGCCTCAAGCCAGTGGAGGGGGAAATGTGATGTCATGAGAGGGAGGGTCATCAACGGGAGATACATCCCCTCCCGGTGGCTGCAGCAAAGACTACAACCCTTCATGGCATCGGGGTAACAAACTACAATTCCCATAGTCAGCAGGGCAGCCGGTGCCAAGGCGGCGGCGGCCCAGCTGAAAGAGAGGGGACTGATTACGCGGGAGAGGTTGGTGTGGGGAAGAAGAAGGAAATGTTTGTTGAGAGGAGGACAGGAGCGCACAAAGAGGAAAAGAGTTTTATTTTACATTAAAGACAACGAACCCGAAGAAAACAGAAGATACTTATGTTTGGTTTTTGTAGCGGCTTTCGGCTGGACTGAAGTTTACCTTTTGTTTAAAGAATCTAAATATATTATTTTGAGTTGGAACACAACCACTTGTTGTCTTCATTTGTGCACCCACGCCTCACAAGCTGATCCCAACCTCAAGACATCACAATAGACACTCGCTACCCTGTTGCTGCCCTACCCCAATCTTAATCCTCATGTCATGTCACCTGCAGCTGTTGACCGTGTGTAACTCACTGTGCAGATCAGAGGGGTGAAGTAGCGCCAGCACAGTTTGAAAAAAACCCATGGCCTCTGTCCCGTCATAAATTCCACCGCGTCAGACATCCGCTCAGCCCCTGTATGATTAATGATGTAGAAGCATGATGAATGTCAGACCCATAGATTGGCCTGGAACCCCTTGTTAAAATATAGCAGGTTTATATGGAGCCTCAAAACCAGCAAAAAAGGCAAGTCAAGATTATTAGACTGGCACTAGACGCCTGTTCTGCCTCTGGGTACGTGATTTGGGTGCCGGTGTTTGGTTCCATGTTTACATGTCCGTGGAAATATTGATCTGTTATTTCTTCGACTTTGGTAGTTAATCTAAAGAGGTGCGAATATGTCAAGCATATGCCAATGGAGGGCGATAGGGCGTGTGTTTTATATTATACTGAATGTTATTATATGATATATATATTATATTGAATCGCCTGTGAGGGTGACAAAAATAAGATGTCCTGACATGTTTATCAAAGTGTTATTTACTGCTTTTTTCCATGTTGGAATAAATGTTAAATATTTAACTGCAAAGTAGTAATGCGTGTTTGATACCTTAATGTTTTTGCATTAAATCATACTGGGATGTTTGCTGAAATTGATTGGATGTGGCACAGCCCTACCTAGAAAATGTTCCACCAGCCGCCACTGGTTAAAGGAAAATTGTATTGAATAAATCTTCATACACCACTTTTATAATTGAACACTATTTCTGATAACCTTATACTATGTTTCTTCAGTTGTGGGGCTCCATAGGTTGGATTCCTACACAGAAGTGAGAGGGTGTATTGTAATTATGACCGACTTCTGTCAAACTATTTTATGAAAAAGTTTTTCCAAACCTTTGCCTTGTTTAAACACTTATATGCATCAACAAGGCGGTAAAAGACAATAACGTACTGTATATTCACATAACGATTTATTTAACGATTTATCAAAAATCTATCACCTACAAGAGGACCTTTTGGGGTTCAGGAAGGATGACAAATTAATTTAAATTAGCAACTCAAACATGAACGCTGATATGGGGATGATTCTGCAAAATCATGGATTATGTTCAATGACAACGGTACTGTATGTGGCCTATTTCTTGGCAAGGTGTAGTTAAGACACTATTGCTGTCGCTTTGAGGCTGCCGTGCAATCAGTCGAGATTCCCGGAAGTCAAAATGTATCCGCCCTTACCACCCTTCTACATCATAGACTATTTCAAGCATTGGCACTAAATGTTGGCACTGGGTAAACTATGAGGTGTGGAGTCGTCAAATATGAACACGATACATGGGTTGCAATTTGGCCCCTTGTTCTTTTGGTGAAATCGCACAAAGTTCCTGTGGTTTATAACTCTTGGACATATACTTGGGTAGTGATATTACATCTTGTAAGCTACAGCTTCATTTAAACATGGTGATGATACCACCTACCAAAGGCCCAGCCAACAGCCACACACTGGAGCGCAGACACAAATAATATACATATTCCATTGGCACCATAGTAATCAACCAGCTGGAAGAGGTACACTCCTCCCTGGACAACACAGAAAAGGTACGTTAATGTAGTGTTGTGTGTAGGGTCAAAATACGCCTCCAATAGTGTTCACTGGTGGGTTTGGGTCTGTGTGTCGTACCTGAGTGGTGAGAGAGATCTGTATGATGAAGCAGATGGAGCAGAAGAAGAAGAGGAAGATTTCTCTGCGCCAGGGTCTGCGCATTTGCCCCGGGAACATGTCAATCACTGATGACGTGATAGTTTCCAGACCTGCAAACTAACACAAACAAGCAGACAAAAAAAAAGAGTAACTTTACATAATTGTTACATCAAACATGCATTATGTCCATATGTAGGTTATACTCGATGACTGTTCACCAATAGGAAAGCATTCCAAAACAAGTGTGGGACCCTATTTTAAAGGTGGAGCTGCAACCACCAATAGAAGCCTTTGGGTTGTTCTCCTTTAGGTGAAAGGGTTGGGTGACAGATAAATACACTCTACACCTGAGATTGGGATTGAATGAACTGAGGGTGAAGCTTTTCATTCAATATAAAGCAGGTATGGACAACAGATACTGTAGGATCATTCATATCAGTGGCGGCTGGTGGAAAATTTTCTAGGTAGGGCCATCCTATCAATTTCAGCAAACATCCCAGTATGATTTAATGCAAAAAAATTAAAGTATCAAACACGCATTACTACTTTGCAGTTAAATATTTAACATTTATTCCAACACGAAAAAAAGCAGTTAATAACACTTATATAATATAATATAATAGAACATGTTTATTTATTGAGATGCCCCTATGGACCTTGTTATAGGAGGTAAAGATCAGGAGAAGTAAACATGAAGTGTAATCATGAATACTGATGTTAAATTAAGCTATGATGAGTTTTCACTGTTAATTTACCATCTCAATTAAATGTTGATGCATCCATGACCAAGTTAAGCAGATGAGACTGAGGACAACTATGTAGAAGAAAAGATGTTCACTTTGCCTAATATGTAGCTTGACAGAGTTCTCCATGTGTGTCCTGCTGTTCTCATGTTTCCTTACCTACTCATCCCTCACTCCCTAACTGTCCGTGCTGGATCTGTCCCCATTGTTTTAAAAAGCTAAATAGGTTATTAGCATGACGTCATCCAGCTAGCCAAACCTGTCTGGTGTTCAGCTAGTACAGAAGCTTCGCATGTACTGCTTCCCTTTCCCGCTAGTCTGCTGTCTGATTGTGAGGTCAGGCTGATCTGGGATTAGCTCTTTGGTCTGCAGAATCTCCGCCAAAGTTCTCCTCTCAAACGAGACTTGGAGGAGCAGTGCTCGCGCTGGCAAAATCTTTTTGGCCCCACACTGAATCTATTTGAGGGCGCTGATTGGCTAAATTGTATGTCACTCATTTATATCTTTAATCAGCAATTGTCTAAACTGCTTCATAGACCCGCCTCTTTTGGACCAAAACGATTTGACCCCCCTAGCTGCGCGTTCTGAGACATGTCGTGCACACAGGCGGAGAGCACGAGCAGACGAGCACACAGGCGGAGAGGACGAGCAGGAAAAGCATATATTTTGCGCAGATATCATATTTTACACATATTACTGGGTACATTCCATAGTTCAAAAACACAAATATTGACAATTTGCCCCATGGCCCTCTATTGACCAGCCGCCACTGATTCATATTCATTTAAAGGTAAATGCAGACTGATTTAAAGGCAGTCCCCTACTTTTAACCAAACTATTTTTTATGGGGCTTAAATGCATCTACTGGCTTTTAAGTTTTGTTCTGTTATTTCTATATATCTGTCCTCAATTCCTTTCCTTGCCTCCTCTCCTCTCTTCTGATTCCCGCCCACGAGAGATGCGAGCGGAGGAAGGCCAGGAAGACACGAGAGGTGAGAGCAGATGAGGCATTTAACAAAATGAGTTAAATATAAATGTTTGAAGTTACATGTTTATGCTTAGTTTCTCTGTTCTACTTTGTTTTCTTTAATGTCCTTGTTTTTATATTTTTCTTGTTTATTTGTATATTCTATGTATGTACGTTGAGAGCAATGCGAAAACTGGAGGCAAATTCCATGTATGCGTACGCACACATGGGCAATAAAGCTGATTCTGATTCAAAGACATATGTCCTTTTTAATATGTTTTTGCGTCTTTGTCGTGTAAAAGTGCATCGCTGTGGTCTTACGGTAATTCGTGTTTCAATTAGCAATAATTGAGCTGCCATTTTGAAGATACGTCAATTAAATATGACATGTGGCACAGCTGTACCTGGCAGTAGCTCATCACAGGACGCTGATTGTTCAAGACACAAACTTATTACTTGAGATCCTGACAAGAAATTCTGATTTTGTCGTTTCTTATTCCGTCCATGTGGAATCGAAATTTTGGACAAATTCATATTTTGACTTGATGGTTGCGCTGGATGGAAAGTCAGAGGATCACCAAAGTCATTAAAATGCTCCAGGCACCATGAATATCTTTACGACATTTTATGGCAATCTATCATATAGATGTCAAGACATTCACTAAAAGGAGGAAAGGTCAGTGGATTCATCCTCTAGGGACTATGAATGTCTGTACAAAATTGCATGGCAATCCATCCAATATTTGAGATATTGAGATGCTGAGATATTTCAGAGTGGATCAAACTAGTCGACTGACCGTCAGACTGACATTGCCGCCCATAGAGCAACAACGATACTTGAAGCTACATTTTTACATACGTGTTCACTGATCCAGCATAAACAGTTGCAGCATGTCTTTCTACTTTAAGTGAAGACTTTGTGCAGGACACCGACTGTACGTCGTGTGTCCCCTTGGTCTTACCAGTGTGTCCAGTCCCAACAGAATGAGCATAATGAAGAAGCAGGCGGCCCACAGCTGTGGGAGGGGCATCATGGCAACAGCCTGAGGAAATACGATGAATGCAAGCCCAGGGCCTGGGAGGACAGAAGAGACATTCAAATTGTCTTGTGTTAGATTTTTGTCCTTTTCCAGGAAAAGTGCGAGGGTTTATTTGATTCTGGTGTTTGATAGAGACGGGTGCTTCGGGATTTAAATCATACCTGAATCAACCACCATGTCGATGGGAATTCCCTGTTTGTCGGCCATGAAGCCCAGAGCCGCGAAGACTGCGAAGCCGGAGATGAAGCTGGTGCCGCTATTGAGCACACACAACCACAGACTGTCCCTGCAGACACGCACAGAGCTTAGCACACAGAGCAGAACTGAGTGGGGCAATGTGCTGACAGCAGTGGTGGACCGTCGGGGCCAGCAAAGCCTTCTCTGCTGGCCTAGACAGAATTACAAAGTTATAGCTATTTTATAATTTAATTATTTTTCATAAATACACTACATGTATTCAAAATACTTTTTCCCATTAACTTATTATCTCATTGCATAGCTACTGTCTTGTTGTTATAGTCTTCAACCAATCAGATTTTTAGTTTGACATGTTGGGCGTATTCTTTGACATGCCAGAGCCTTCTAGCTGGCCTAGCCGAGTGTGTCAGCATTAACGTGCGGCTTGATTGGTCAGTGGGCTAGCGTGACATGTTGGGCGGTGAAGACCCCAATATCTGCTGCCTCTGTCGAGCAGACATTTTCAGCCCTCAAACGCATTAAAACGTATTCAAGAAATACAACTTGGGAGGCTCGACTTTCATCACTGGCGTCCATGAATCGAAAAGGACCTCTTGCTGGAACTGAAACGCACGGATACTGTACAACTGCATCATTGAACTCTTTGTTAAGAAAGAAAGGAGGATATACTTTGTCTTTAAATAGCGAACAGCAGCTCTGGTATGTGAACTGCTTTTGTTTTTTTACATCTGCAGTAGCGTTTGCAGAGAGCTGTGCAACTGGTAGACCTCAGGTTGTAGGTCTTTCAAATTTGCTTTTCCTTTTCCGACGTTCGAATTGGAGGGCTGTGTCTGACCGTTTCTGTAACTTTCCAAACCCGACAATCTGACATGCACACCCACTGCTGTATGGAGTAAAGAAAGTAGGCAGGGTTTGAACCTCTCTCTCTTGCTCTATTTTATTACTGACACAACTATTTCTGTCATCTTTCATGTGATCAACCGAGTGCAACACCATGAATGTCTTCCAGGAGAGAGTGGCTGTTCGAAACAACTATAAACATATTTGATTGAGTTGGACAGTGTGTTGTATGAGCTAGTTCTGATCAAGTAGATTGAGTACCTTATGTCAAGCAGACCAAGCTGAATTTTTTGTGGCTTGTTTTCAATTGTGGCCAAAATGGGTTCATTGCTGCTTCATGTGGCCACTGGAGGGAAAAACACAGCTGCTATCTTTACAGCTGCAATGTTGTTTCCCCCCATGAGCCACAGGGGGCAGTAATGAGAACTGTGGCACCACAATGAGACTAAAAAGACAAAAACCTACGCGGACATTCCACAAAAAGGGACGATTCAAGGGTGAATATTTTGTCTCAGAAGTGGGGGGACACAGTGAAGAGACAAAAAATCTGTCACTATCTTGTTTTTTGGACTTCAGCTCTGCCTTCAACACCATCATCCCGTCTCTGCTGCATGACAAGCTCTCTCAGCTGCACGTGCCTGTCTCCACCTGCAAGTGGATTACAGACCTGTCTGACAGGAAGCAGCATGTGGTGCTGGGAAAACACATCTCAGCCTCTCGGACCATCAGCACCGGTTCCCCTCAAGGCTACGTTCTTTCCCCTCTGCTCTCCACCCTGTACAGCTGCACCTCCAGTCACCAGTCCGTCAAGCTCCTGAAGTTCGCGAATGACACCACCCTCATTGGACTCATCTCTGGTAGGGATGAGTCCGCCTACAGGTGGGAGATTGACCATCTGGTCATGCGGTCTGAACAACTTAGAGCTCAACGCTCTAAAGACAGTGGAGATGGTTCTGGCTTTCCGCAAGAACACAGCCCTACCTGCCCTTATCACCCTTTGTGACTCCCTTGTCGACGCTGTCAAGTCCTTCCGCTTCCTGGGCTCCACCATAACCCAGGACCTCAAGTGGGAGCTTAACGTCAGCTCCATCACCAAGAAGGGTCAGCAGAGGATGTACTTCATGAGGCAGCTGATGAAGTTCAACCTTCTAAAGACAATGACTGAGTCCATCCTCTGCTCCTCCATCAGCATCTGGTACGCTGCATCCACAGTCAAGGACAAGGGCAGAGTGCAGCGTATCATTCGCTCTGCTGAGAGGGTGGTTGGCTGCAATCTGCCGTCCCTCCAATACCTGCTCGCTTCCAGGACCCTGAAGCGGGCAAGAAAGATTGTAGCAGAGCCCCTTCCCTCTGGCAGGAGGCTGCGGTCCATCAGGACCAAGACCTCACGCCACAAGACCAGTTTCTATCCTTCCGCAGTTGGGTTCCCCACTGACTCTGATTCTTACATCCCCAGGACGATTTCCTACTCTTATGTGCACCCTTGCACATGTTTCTATATTTAAATACACTTGCCACTTTTATAATATACTTTTGTAATACACCAAGTCAAATTCCTTGTATGTGTAACGTACTTGGCAATAAACGGTTCTGATTCTGATTCTGATTCTGATTACTTGTAGCAGTTGTTGTTGACTTTGTTGTAGCTACCCAGTGTGATCAGGGTTCCTGATGCAACACCATAGGAGAAGAGGACCTGAGCACAAGCCTCCATCCACACCTGATGGACATATAAAAGACACACGTTATCAGTTATAAGTTATAATCAGGTTATCAGGTTATCAGTATCATATCTCAGTGTGTCACTGTTAAATTCAGGTAGCTATGACACTAGCAGCAGCATCAACAAAAGAAAAACTTTACCCTCAAACAAACTAGACACTGTAAAGCTGCATGATTTGTCCACAGTGCTTCACCTGAAAGTCTACCAGGCGAGTAGGATCTGGATACAAGTAGTACACCACGCCCTGCCAGGCTCCTGGCAGCGTCAACCCCCTGACCAGCAGGATGGCCAGCATCACATAGGGGAACACTGCCGTGAAATACACCACCTGGAAATTTCAGAAGCAGCAAATTTCCAAACAGACTTTTGTTTAATATACATACATACAATAATGTTATGACCTTGCCTTCACCATATTAAATTAAGGTTGATCGTCATCATGCCCCTTCAGTCTAATGCTGCCATACTGTACTGTACATGTTCATGTACATATTGTACTGCGGCAGCCTCCCACGTAAGTTAGCTATCCATAAGTAGTAACTAGAAGCATTGCTGGAGCTATTTATTTGATATTGTATTTTGTTATTTCATTTATAAGTAGTATTGTTTAATTATTGTAGATGTTTCATATATTAAGATTATTTTTCTCTTTAATAGTAATTTGTTTAGTTATATTGTTTTTTGGGTAATTACTGTGGGCACCTGTTGCTATATATATGAGTAGAAGGATAGGACCAGCATGCACCGGGGTGGGCGTATAGTTTTTACCAGCATATCACATCACAGGAGAGACCGCACGACAGGAGTTTTGTTAGTTTGTTTGTTTGCTTGTTTTGTTTGCTTTATTTAATAAACACGAAAATCGGAATCCTGCATGGACAATCCACTCTCTTCTGGCTGCGTAAGAATATCGACCACGGTGCATCAGTGGCGTTTGATTATTGTTTGTTTAAGTTTGATTAAGTCGACAAATGGCCACTACAAGCATCATTCAGTGATTTACCACACTGACTCATGTCATGTGCCTCATATCACGTGGTGAAATACTCGGTTTGGTCTTTGTGCTCACACCTCATATACAGAAATTCTTGGTAAATTTCTCGAGGACACAAAATCCACATACTCTGCAGTGTGTGTGTTAGCATGCAACTCCGAACACAGCCAGGGGGCTAAAAGACACTCTGTGGAGCTGAGTATGGTAATAATTCTCTGTAGGAATAACAGTTTGTTAAATATTATTGTTTTGGATGATGTAGTTGGCTTTCAGCTGAAAGCTTACCGCTAACGGAACTACACACACAGCTATGTGCATCGCCGGCACTCAGCCGCTACTCTGCGTCCAGAAACACAGTGGGGGAAAACAGTTAGCTCACTGTTAATGTTTTGGACGTGTGTTTGGCTATCAGCAAACAGAACAACCAGTACACACACAGCTCAGTGCATTGGCGCTGTTAGCAGCTGACTGAACTACACATACTGCTGACGGCATCGCTGCCAATGAGCAGCTGCTGAGCCGCTCCAGAGACACAGTGGGGGGGAAACAGTTTGCTCACCTTGAAGCCTAAATGACCGCTTCAAGTTGCGGTTACACACATGAGATAGAGTTGAGACGCTTGCCTGCACAGAGCTAGTGCAGACGATAGATTAGAATGAAATGCGTGTCTGTTGTGCGAGATGTGCGAGTGAAAAACACATTTGAAATACTTGCAGTCTAGATGGGGGGGTTAGCCAATTGTGGGTTGTATTCATTCAATCAAACAAACATTACAGCAGTGGTCTTTGCAGACACACCTGGAGATCTGCACTCTACTGAGTGCGCTTTCTTAGTTTCAAAGGTTTGGCCCTTGAATCCTCACACCAAGACAGACCTTTCCTGTGAAACGGACCCCTTTCCAGATGCAGAAGTAGCAGGCCACCCAGCAGGCCAGGAGACACAGCAGCAGCTCCCACTTCACTGAGCCAACCTCCTCAATTCCCCCAGACATGGACAACAGTCCTCTACTGCACGGGGACACCAGACAGTCATTAATAGTTGCATATTTGAGAAGAAAAGAGAATGTACTCAATACTTGATCCACTGCTGCCGCCCCATGTGATTTATTATTAGCTTTTTGTGACAACACTGACTCACTCCCAGAACTCAGAGGCTGATGACTTGGGGAGATTTCCAGATGTCCAGTTTCCTCTCAGGTTGCCACTGTGTATTGCAGTCCAGTTCGCAGAGGCAAGGTCCACACATCTGTCTGTTGATAGAACAGCACACTGATTACGTGTTGATCTCACACAGTTACTGACATTTGCTCATTATTTTCAGTCATGAAACACAGTTTGCTAGCAAGTAAACGTGGATATAATCTATGCAAGTTTAAAACTTTTAAGAAAAATCTGCTTTGAAAATATATATCCACTGCGCATTTGGAAATCCACAAAGTTTGACCGTCCTCTCTTTTTCTTTGCTCCATTTCTGTCAGGAAACGTGTGTTCAAAATAGCCAGTCAGATTTGTCTCTCCATGTGACATCTTATGGGGTTTGCTTAACATAGCACTACCTCCGAGGTGAACCATCCACGGAACACTGAGTGAATCTACCCCGCTGTCCGCCATGGTTATTTCCTTGCTTGGTGGCTCCAGTAACACAAAAATGCAGAATAACTTTGACTAACGCCCACTCGTTGACTTGCTCATACCTGACAGCTGAAGTGGCCTGCTGGAAAGTGTGTGTAAAGTCACACCGAGGCCAATTTAGCCTCTCTGATTCACATAGATATGGTCAAATTCAGGTTTTGGCATATCTAGATTGCATCAAGATTGATTTTAAAAGTCTGGACAGCAAAAATCACATTAAATGGAGCTGCACAGTGGTTTAATTCTTGGGCTAGACGGGCCTTCTGTGTGGAGTTTGCATGTTCTTCCCGTGGCGGCGTGGGTTCTCTCCAGGTTCTCTGGCTTCCTCCCACAGCCCAAACACATGCCCGTAGGTGTGGATGTGAGACTGAATGGTTGTTTGTTAAGTTAGCCCTGCAATAGACTGGCAACCTGTCCAGGGTGAACCCTGCCTTTGCCCAATGTCAGCTGGGATCGGCTCCAGCCCCACCACGACCATGAACAGGATAAGCGGTTAATTCTCACTCCTGCATAATTTGCCTAAAACGCCTATCAACCGCGTACCCAAAGTAAACTGACAGCTCTTATTGAACCATTGGGAGTACATGTATAGTTTTAGTCTCGATTGAATGGCAACACTCTGAAGTTTCTTCACAATCAGTCAGAATCACTGTAAGTGGTACTAGCATTGAGCTATGGCGTTTTCAGCACAGTGAAAGAGAAGGATTTTATTTCCGCCTAGATTTGTTTTGGCCAACAGATGGCAGCAGTTATCAATGGCTGGGACTTATGACCCGGAAAAAACAATATTATGTCACCATGGAGTCATGGTACCTGGTATAAGTTATAATTTGATAACAATACAACAGACAATTAATATTTTACACATGGTTTACTAAGAGTGCAGCTGCATAAAAACACATTTGGAGGCTTGTGTTACCACTTCAAAACTCATATACTACAAGTCAAAACTCATATACTACTATAAACTACATGTCTGAAATTTGAACTATAATTTATTTACATCAATGTATGGTTATCTATATCATATTCAACCATTGTCAACTTTCACAGATTCTTGAAAATTCTCATGAACCAGACTTTGGTCTTGATACTCTGTCCCAGGTACCTGAGTCACGGTTTCAATTGCAGTTTTGAAATCTTTCCCAGCATTCAATCTGATAAATCTGCATATCCTTGGCTTCGTAATTTCATTGGCTATATGGAGCCTGAGTTTGAACAGGATCTGTTGCGATTGGCTCGCGCATTACCCAAAGAAGAGAGACGGGCATTGTCTTTCAAAGCGGACTCTCGTTGGCTGTTCCAGACTGTGACCGGGCTATAGAAGCTCCTATTGGGTCAAATGAGGTGTCAATCTAACCGGCGGAATGTAGGCTCCATTTTTGGTCAAAATCTCCGCTCTGTTGACATGGAAAGTGAAATTATGCCCGAAATATGATCGTGAGTTATCATATCTGCTGGCTAATTTGAAATGATGCTACAGCCAGGTCTTTATGGACGTACTAATGTGTTTTGGACTAAATCTTTTACTGGATTTGATCGAGTGGACCCTTAGCCACCTAGCAAGACCGTTTTTGCTGGACTAGCATGCACAAGGGGCACGTTATGGATCATAATCGGTGAGTCACGGCGATATTTTATCGGCTATTTTTGGAGTGCTTGTTTGACAGAGACGTTAACTGTACCTGCTGTTGTTATTGTATCTTGAAATGGTTTGCATAAATCGAATTACAAGAACCGTAGCTTTCTAATGAGATATCACATTAATACTCATCGTTACAGAGCAGTTGTGTACATAACACAAATATGCCGTTAACACTCTGGGATGAGATGATAGATTGATCCAAACCACATTTGGAGGTGGTTTGAAAACTAATTTCAATTGGATTTCTACAAATGTCTATAAACTATAGATAAGTGGACATAGTGCACGACGACACCCATTGGTTTGTGGACTGCCGTTTTGACACCTTTAGTATGACATTTTGGGCATCTTGGTTTTTGGCCATTGGCGACTTTGTTAGGAATTGACTTTCGTCAACCTGTTTCCCAGTGTTCTCCTTTGTTTCCCCCTCCCTCCTGTGTCTGTCTACCCCATCTGTCTTTCTGTCTTTGTGGGTGTGGTTTTCCTTACTCAGTTCACGGCTCTACTTTCCCTCACCTGTGGTTCATCAGTTGTCACTCCGCCCAGCCAGCAGACCTGCCTTCCATCAGCCTCATCAACCACTGTATATAAATCCTAGCTCTGAAACCACTCTCTGACAGATTTGTGACAGCCCTTAGTGGTAGTATTCTGGTGTAATGGTACATTTTTACTTAGTATATATTTCTACTCAGTGTATTTTATTCATGCATAAGTAATTTTGCTCTGAACTTTGTTGAACGTCACCAGGTCTCTGTTGTGCAGAAGAAGAATTCATTCTTGCCTGCGCCTAAGTTAACTAACTGTGTTGTATGAGAATGTTTCACCACCAAGGCCGTCCTGACCCTTGTTTTGGTTGCTGGTCGTTTGTTTTTCATTGTTGTTCCTATTAGTCTGAGACCAAAATGTCTGTAACATTGGCCATCGGCCCCCTCATTCTGTATAAAGAAAGTGTGTTCTCTTTTTTCTTGGTTCTTCCTCACTGAGACTGTACGCATTCTGTTGTGATGATTGAACCTTCTCTGCGCAAAGACAACCTGGTTTTAGGTATTCCTTATTTCAGCATTAAGAACTCACGCAAAGCAGGTATAGGGATATTTTCCACCACACTGGCCAAAATCCCTGTGTTTAAAGTTTGCTTCAACATTTTTGAAATAATGCAGATATAATTTGTCTGCTGGCACTTGCACTTTGCTTTAACTTTCTGCTGCTTCCCCCCTCATAATATCCCTTCAAGTGTGAATCTATGTCTGAACTTCTCTAGGACAGTTTTCAGTGAGGTGGAGAAGCTGAGCTAACAATGAGTTAGCAAGCACGGTATGGTCTTTTAACTTTAGCTGCGGATGCACCATCCTACATCCCATACTGACCTGTGTTCCACGGATTGTTGCAGGTGGCCCAGGGCAGAGGGTCTCTGAAACAATAGAAGAAGTAGAGGAGGGCCCAAGCCAGGATGATGATGTAGACTCTGGAATAAAGCTGGATCACTATGGTGGAATAGCCGGCCCCTGGAGGGAGAAGACATCCGACAAACCTCAGTTTAAGATGTCATTTGATAGAGCACTACGAAATATAACACTTACAGCACCATGATAATACTGTTTTATTTCAGTGTCTTATATAAAGTGTATAAAATCGAACTGCATTACAACTACGGTCCATCAAGTGATGGGCCCAGTGACTTAAACTTACATTGGGAAAGAGAATCAGCTGATACTTTTTGTTGTTGTTCGAGCTGTGGTCTGTTTGATGTCATCCGACATGTCTTCAATTCGCCTACTTAGTGTCATTTGACAGAGGTATAGTTTTCAGTTGCTGCGGATTGATCCAACAAATGCCGCTTCAGTTTTGACGGATTCATGCTTTCTTGTGCCAGAACCTCACTGCACAAAACACACTGAGATTTTTGCCCTCTTTTGTCCTCAATGTTAAAAAAATCCATATCTCATGTAGTCGGTGTTGTAGCTACTTGCGTTTCGCTCAATTAGCATATGAAAACAAACTTTGTGGGTGTTCTTCTATACCGTGAAATGGCGGGTGTCTATATTAGCATTACAAGGCATTAACACCAAATACTGTTAAGGAGTGTGAATAACTCCGCTGCATAAAAAATCCCCTTCAAAATAAAAGCACAAGATTTGAATTTTTTATTTTTCAGGCAAAGGCCCGCGACCCACTGAACACGGGTCCGCGACGCACCAGTTGAGAATCACTGTCCTAGAGCACACTTAAATAGACCTTATTAGGTCCTTAAATTTGTAAAATACACCAATAGCCGAATCAACATGCCATATTTTCCTTCCTTCCTTCCTTCATGTGAAAGAGCTCTTGAACAAGCTGGACCGAAGTGAGCTAGTGCGCTTATTACCCTATGGTTTGCAGAGGATTGCCTTAAGATTCCAGCTATAATTTTCTAACTTCTTTTGCTTTGTGTGCAACTGATTAACTTCTAAAGAAATGAACGGGCCCCACCTCTAATGCTGTATCCAGTTCTCTCTACACATCTATGATTAGGCCCCAACTCTGCAGATTGGAGGAAAACCTGTATTTTGTCACTTGAGTGACAGCAGCTAGGCACTAAATCAATACCTTTGGGTCAAAATTAAAGGATCCTGGGAAACTGGGTCAAAATGCCTCTGCTTCCACCATGACTGAGTCCCAACATAAGTAAAACCAATACAACAAAACACAAGGGTTACCAATCAAAAGCACCCTTTAGTGGCTATATTTACACTTTTCTCTTTTGTCTCTAACTGTCTCTTCCTCTGTTTGTTACACTGCTATGAGTCCTGTTTCAGGTAATGGTACTGTGGGATGTTAACAAAAGTCGGCTACAGAAAATAATAATTTTATAAGACTCAGTGGGTCCTGGGTTTTTGATCAGTTACAGGAGAATTAATGATCTTATTTTCCTAACCCTAACCTGCAGCAATTTGTTTTCAGCTCTAGTTCATTTTAAATTACACAATGTTTTCATGCTCAATGTATTCAACAATGTGATTACCCTGTGCCAGCGGGCAGAGCTTGGTCCAGCAGGTGATGGCGCCCTCCTGTGTGTACTGACCAATCACAGTCTCCAGCAGGAAGAGTGGCACGCCACACAGCACAGCAAAGAAACAGTAAGGCACCAGGAAGACACCTGCATGCACAAAAATACACCAGAGACCAGTAATGCTGTGCAATGGGATGAGGAAAAAACCTGTATTAATAAAGTGAGTAAAATCGAGAATATTTGATGCAATATTATGCTGCCACGAACAATCATTATTTGATTCAAAGGTGAAAAGACAGTTGATTTTAAATGTTAGACATCTATTTGGATCTTGACTCAACAGCATTCTTCATTTATTTGTTATTTCAACAAATGTAATTGAGTTAAACACGTCACTTGAAAGGCTGTTGAAAATGTTGAGATTATAGCAGTCTGTTTAAAATGATTGAATGTGAGGGCAAAACCCCCAGCTGTTAGACTTTCCTGAGAGACCACAAGCTAATATCCACCCAGGATTTAATCATCGTAATTAATGCGCTTCGATTCGCTCTTCAATACGAACTGAATCAACGAGGGAATAAAACAGCGTGTCTGGCTCTTTAAGGGGGAGGAGTCAGAGAGAAACTCTGTAGTGTTACCTGTCTTTCTCGAAGTGAAATCCTAGAGTTCCCCTCACCTCAAACGAAACCAGTTTTTGTTAAGTCTTTGGAATGTTATTATATTATTATCATCAAACACTTTCTGGTGCGCAACAATGCAGTTAACAGTTAATTACAAAAAGTTACATGTAGTTTGTGTAGCACACACTGTTGGTCACGCCTCATTATTTGATCGTTAAAACATTTTGTTCTCCCTCGTTTTGTCTGAACCATGAGCCATTTCACACCATTCGACGTAAACCAAAGTATTGGACAAATGAACTAAGAAAAAAAAATCTGATCTGATGGCAATGCTAGTCAGAGGATCGCCAAAGTTATCAACAATTCATCCTGAGGGATAACAAGAACGTTTCACTTTACAAGGGAAACTAGCATGGCCAATAAACTGTTCAACCACTTCCCCTAAAGGCACCTTACATGTTCCTCAATCTGCAGGAGTGGAACCACAGCAATTAAATTAATCGTCTTTGTGCCAACAGAAAAGTCAATGTATGAGCTTTCCTATAACAAGGAAAAAAAATACATGCGCTTGGTACATTATTAAAACAATTTCATGTTTTTTTGCTGATTAAAATGAGTAGATACTGAGTTGTCAACAAATATCGTCTACAGAGTAAGTGAGAGCTTTTATAAATGATTCCTTTTTATCTGTGTAATCAAATATGCAACTTTGATCATAGATATATATATAGACCTCATTGGTGATTCTTATAAAAGTTGCAGTCATCTCAAATATTCCAGTATTATGAACCTTGTGCGTTCCAGCTTACCTCCTCCGTTCTTATAACACAGGTAGGGGAATCTCCACACGTTGCCCAGGCCCACCACATTTCCTGCTGCTGCCAGGATATATTCTCTTTTCTTCCTCCACTGTTCCCTCTTTTTCACTCTGGTCTCCATCTCTCTGTGTTCCCTCTTCAGTCCCCTGAACAGTACTGACAGTACACACCTCTCACCAACCTGGTGTTGCACTTATCTGTAGACCGTTTCACCCGAGGCCATGGCTTGGTTGGCAGAAAGTGCATTGAGTTCAAGCCAGACATAACAAATCTCACTTTGATGAATACATTTTCTAATTCATATGTAAAATGACACCATATTTAAAAAGTTTTTCATTTATTTACAGTTGCACTGAAAATCCTAAAAGAAGTATGTATAATAGTGATGTGTTGAAGCTCAAACAAGACTGTGTCACAAGGTGGAACTCCACCTTTCATATTATAAAACGGATTCTGGAGTCCAAGGATGCAGTCATCTCTACCCTGGCTGTTATGAATGCATCAGTTGATCCTCTGAACCAAGAGGAATGGGAGGTACTGCAGGAGGCATGCACTGTTCTGGAGCCATTCGAGCAGCTCACTGTGGAGATCAGTGCAGACAGGTGTAGTGTACAAATGTTATCACATTATTATTATTATTATTATTATTGTTATTGTTATTATTAGTTGTTGTTGTTGCATTATTGATATGAAAAGCGAATTAGACATGACCAGAAGTAATAATATATACTGCTAAATAAAACAAAGCATAATTTTAACACTTATTGTTTACTCTTTTTCAGCTATGTTACAGCCTCCAAAATGTTAATCCTGTGCAAAGGTCTGCAGAGAGTGACAGCTGAGCACCAGACCAGAGTAACCACAGGGAAAGTGACAGAGTTAGTGGCTGCTCTCTGTGCATCCATGGACAGAAAGTTCCACAGAATTGAATACAACACTGTTCTCTCAGAATCCACCATTCTTGACCCAAGATTCAAGAAGCTGGCCTTTAATGACAACAGAGCGGTTGATGAAGCTCTTCAGAGAGTAACTGCAACAGCAGCAAGATCCAGCCAGCCAACTTCACTGCCAGAGGGCCAAGAGGGAGAAGAGGCAGCAGAGCATGAACAAGAGGAGCCACAAGCATCTGCTGTTTGGAGGTTCTTTGAAGAACAAGCAAGTGGAGACACTACAAGAAGGAATCCTTCAGCAGATTCGATTCTGGAAGTGAGATCCTATCTTGAGGAGCCCCTTTTCCAGAGAAGTGCAGACCCACTGAGCTGGTGGGAGACCAAGGCTTCAGTGTACCCACGCCTTACTCATGTGATGGCACGGAGACTGTGCATTGTAGCAACTTCAGTCCCCTCAGAGAGAATCTTCTCCAAAACAGGGCAGATAATTACAGAGAGAAGAAACAGGATCAGCCCCTCAAAGCTGAGGCACTTGGTCTTTCTCAATGTAAATCTTCACTGAAGGACAAAACTCTGGATGCTGATTTTTTTCTTTTTGTTTTACACATTTTAATTTATATTTTGTTGTGTGATTCTGTAAGCTTCTGTATGTTGTTTCACTTTAAATTTGTTAAGTATTAAAAACCTAAAAGTTTAAAATAGTTAAAAGTTAGTTAAGTTCATTTGTAAATAGTTACACGTTTGTTTTTGCACTTTCTAATTTATTTTTTTTATCACTCTGTAGAGTGTATAAATAAAAGTGTATTTATATAATAAACATTTGATATAGTGCATGTTTTATTTACATTAGTAATTCATATTGCGCATAATTTTACATTATTGTTGGTAATAAATTAATTTAAGCACCAAAAAATCTGAAGAGCCATTTGGGAGCCAAAAGAGCTGGTTCTCTAAAAACAGCCGGAATTCCCATCACTATCGGTACAAGTCTTACAATACATTTGAATAATGCTAGAGCATTTAGAAAATGCAAAAGGCCTAAATTTAGGAAAATATAATGTTCTCAGCTGGTCTGGCTGTGGTACTCACCATCATTCCTTAAAGACAAGCCACGACCCAAAGAGATTATCATGGGATTTTACTTTCACAACTTAAACGTTGAATGTACTGCTCTGCAAAGTCTTTCCTCGTCTCAGTCTCCTGTGTCATGGTGTGTGGTACATCTCACTCGGGTCAGAATGCCCATATTTGACTGGCTGAGCTGTATCACGTGATGTAATTACCCGACAGCCTCTGCTGTTAAGTTTCGTTTCACGATAGTCACGTGCTCGCCCACTGACCAATCACAGCACACTCTGCACCTCGCAGCAGAGCTGCACATGGACACTGAGCAGCATGTAATGCTGATGTCATTATAGGCCGGCTAGCAGGTGCTGACATGTCAAAGAATACGCCCAACATGTCCCCATTCACTTAAACTGCACATGGATGCACTTGTGAGTCTGCAGGCCTTGGTCCTCTCTTCTTTCCAAGAGACACAGAGGTGAAGTCTGATTGGATAAAAGCTCTACTTAAAACAAGCTGCACTGGAAGCAGAGCAACTGAGGAAGACAGTAGCTGTGCAATGAGAAAATAAGATAAAGCGAAAATAATTTTTATAAATTATAATACATGTAGTGTATTTAAGAAAAGATATTAAATTATAAAATAGATATAGCTTTGTGATTCTGTTTAGGCAAGCAGAGAAGGCCTTGCCTAAACAGAATCACCACGGCCCACCACTGATACAGTGGGGAAAAAAAGTATTTAGTCAGCCACCAATTGTGCAAGTTCTCCCACTTGAAAAGATGAGAGAGGCCTGTAATTTTCATCATAGGTACACCTCAACTATGAGAGACAAAATGAGAAAAAAAAATCGAGAAAATCACATTGTCTGACTTTTAAAGAATTTATTTGCAAATTATGGTGGAAAATAAGTATTTGGTCAATAACAAAAGTTCATCTCAATACTTTGTTATATACCCTTTGTTGGCAATGACAGAGGTCAAACGTTTTCTGTAAGTCTTCACAAGCTTTTCACACACTGTTGCTGGTATTTTGGCCCATTCCTCCATGCAGATCTCCTCTAGAGCAGTGATGTTTTGGGGCTGTCGCTGGGCAACACGGACTTTCAACTCCCTCCACAGATTTTCTATGGGGTTGAGCTCTGGAGACTGGCTAGGCCACTCCAGGACCTTGAAATGCTTCTTACGAAGCCACTCCTTCGTTGCCCGGGCAGTGTGTTTGGGATCATTGTCATGCTGAAAGACCCAGCCACGTTTCATCTTCAATGCCCTTGCTGATGGAAGGAGGTTTCCACTCAAAATCTCACGATTTCCTTTACACGGATCAGTCGTCCTGGTCCCCTTCAGGATCTGCTCAAGTCATAATCCACATAGTGATAAAAAGTTTTTGCTGCCGCGTCGTGGCCGCCAATTGAGAGGAGACGGACAGTAGAAGCCGTTTATGAACATATACACTCACCGGCCACTTTTGTAGGCACACCTGTTCAATTGCTTGTTAACACAAATAGCTAATCAGCCAATCACATGGCAGCAACTCAATGCATTTAGGCATCTAGACGTGGTGAAGACGACTTGCTGAAGTTCAAAGCGAGCATCAGAATGGGGAAGAAAGGGGATTTAAGTGACTTTGAACGTGGCATGGTTGTTGGTGCCAGACGGGCTGGTCTGACTATTTCAAAAACTGCTGATCTACTGGGATTTTCACACACAAGGGGTGTGAAAATCTCTAGGGTTTACAGTGAATGGTCCGAAAAAGAGAAAATATCCAGTGAGCAGCAGTTGTGTGGACGAAGATGCATCGTTGATGTCAGAGGTCAGAGGAGAATGGGCAGAGTGGTTGGAGATGATAGAAAGGCAACAGTAACTCAAATAACCACTCGTTACAACCAAGGTATGCAGAACACATCTCTGAACGCACAACACGTGGAACCTTAAAGCAGACGGGCTACAGCAGCAGAAGACCACACTGGGTGCCACTCCTGTCAGCTAACAACAGGAAACGGAGGCTACAATTCACACAGGCTCACCAAAATGTGACAATAGAAATTCTGAAAAACGTTGCCCGGTCTGATGAGTCTCGATTTCAGCTGCGGCATTCAGATGGTAGGGTCAGAATTTGCCGTAAACAACATGAAAGCATGGATCCATCCTGCCTTGTATCAACGGTTCTGGCTGCTAGTGGTGGTGTAGTGGTGTGGGGGATATTTTCTTGGCACACTTTGGGCCCCTTAGTACCAATTGAGCATGGTTTAAACGCCACGGCCTACCCGAGTATTGTTGCTGACCATGTCCATCCCTTTATGACCACAGTGGACCCATCTTCTGATGGCTACTTCCAGCAGGATACTGCAGCATGTCACAAAGCTCAAATCATCTCAAACTGCTTTCTTGAACATGACAATGAGTTCACTGTACTCCAATGGCCTCCACAGTCACCACATCTCAATCCAATAAAGCACCTTTGGGATGTGGTGGAACGGGAGATTCGCATCACGACAAATCTGCAGCAACTGCGTGATGCTATCATGTCAATATGGACCAAAATCTCTGAGGAATGTTTCAAACACCTTGTTGAATCTATGCTACGAAGAATTACTACTAGCAAGGTGTACCTAATAAAGTGGCTGGTGAGTTTATATCGGGGAGGCTTTTACATGTGCTGCTCGAAATATCTGCTGTCTGGAATTTAGTGCAAGTGATGCATTTCATGTTGTGAACAAGCTGCCATACAGACATGTATCGCCTTATAAAGTCAGTATAGCAAAGATGTTAGCAAACTATTTACACATTCAACAGACACAGAGCAACCTGGCCATTTTTATTTTCCAGGTGACAAATCTAAGTCCAATATTTGGTTTGGGCTCCATCAACTCTTGAGGGAGATATCTGGCTCTTTGTCAGCCATTAGGTACTGAGAGCAGGTACGGTGGGTTTACGTGAGCTTATTTGATGAAAAACAACTCCCTGCTATGACTGGAATTAGCGCCACCGCGAGCGTAAAAGATTTAAATCATCAGTGGAGAACCCCAAGAGTCAAAACTCATTTTGTTAAATCCCTGCACTTTTTTTCTTTAGTTGCATCACTGTGACAGGGTTGTACCAAATATTTTAAGCTTCTATTGATGTTTTCAAATGAAACTTCGAATGTCTTCCAATCACTCTTAAAA